ACAAGGCCACAGCAATGGCTCAAGGGCACCTTCCGGCCGCAGCAATGGCTTCTTATAGGCATTCAAGGCTGCCGTTTGCCAGGCCTCAAACCCTCCAAACGCTCCAAAACCCTCCAAACGCTCCAAAAGTTCGCATAGCTCCGCAGGGACAAGGTACCCCAACAAGCCCAACACGCGCCACTCCCGCCCGCAAAAGCCACCACAAGGCCACAGCAATGGCTCAAGGGCACCTTCCGGCCGCAGCAATGGCTTCTTATAGGCGTTCAAGGCTGCCGTTTGCCAGGCCTCAAACCCTCCAAACGCTCCAAAACCATCCAAACGCTCCAAAAGTTCGCATAGCTCCGCAGGGACAAGGTACCCCAACAAGCCCAACACGCGCCACTCCCGCACGCAAAAGCCACCACAAGGCCACAGCAATGGCTCAAGGGCACCTTCCGGCCGCAGCAATGGCTTCTTATAGGCGTTCAAGGCTGCCGTTTGCCAGGCCTCAACCCCTCCAAAACCCTCCAAACGCTCCAAAACCCTCCAAACGCTCCAAAAGTTCGCATAGCTCCGCAGGGACAAGGTACCCCAACAAGCCCAACCAAACCCTCCAAAACCCTCCAAACGCTCCAAAAGTTCGCATAGCTCCGCAGGGACAAGGTACCCCAACAAGCCGAACACGCGCCACTCCCGCACGCAAAAGCCACCACAAGGCCCAGCAATGGCTCAAGGCCACCCCCCGGCCGCAGCAATGGCTTCTTATAGGCGTTCAAGGCTGCCGTTTGCCAGGCCTCAAACCCTCCAAACCTCCAAACCCTCCAAAAGTCCGCCCAGCTCCGCAGGGAAAAGGTACCCCAACAAGCCCAACACGCGCCACTCCCGCACGCAAAAGCCACCACAAGGCCACAGCAATGGCTCAAGGGCACCTTCCGGCCGCAGCAATGGCTTCTTATAGGCGTTCAAGGCTGCCGTTTGCCAGGCCTCAAACCCTCCAAAACCCTCCAAACGCTCCAAAAGTTCGCATAGCTCCGCAGGGACAAGGTACCCCAACAAGCCCAACACGCGCCACTCCCGCACGCAAAAGCCACCACAAGGCCACAGCAATGGCTCAAGGGCACCTTCCGGCCGCAGCAATGGCTTCTTATAGGCGTTCAAGGCTGCCGTTTGCCAGGCCTCAAACCCTCCAAAACCCTCCAAACGCTCCAAAACCCTCCAAAACCCCCCAAATGCTTCCCTGCAGCTCCCATGCCGTTTGCCAGCCCCGGCATTGTCCTTTTATGGTGGTTCAAGCCTGCCGTTTGCCCGCCCGCAAAACCCCCCAAATGCTTCCCTGCAGCTCCCATGCCGTTTGCCAGCCCCGGCATTGTCCTTTTATGGTGGTTCAAGCCTGCCGTTTGCCAGCCCGCAAAACCCCCCAAATGCTTCCCTGCAGCTCCCATGCCGTTTGCCAGCCCCGGCATTGTCCTTTTATGGTGGTTCAAGCCTGCCGTTTGCCAGCCCGCAAAAGGCGATGATGAGGCGCCACAACTCGTGGCCCTGGCGCGGCAAGCTCAGCAGCTTCCGGAGATCAGTACCCTTGATTATCCCTGAGTTTCAAAATCAATGATACTC